CCCCAAAACCCCAAAACCCCAAAACCCCAAAACCCCAAAACCCCTAAAACCAACCAATCATTGAGATAAATAATAATTTAAATCACTCTTGATGAACAATAAAAGAGAAGTTCTCAAAATGGTAATGAGTCAGGGGCTGAAAGGGCATGTTAATCCACTGCCTTTAGATTTAGCACTAAATTATAATCCTTTATGATTCAGGTTTGAGTAGAATTTCTAAGTTTGCTTGCACTCGTAATTTTTCCAAATCGGTAATCTCCGTTGTAAAAATAACCCAGAGACTTAGATAATTTCGTTATTATCTATCTGAAGCTTGATTCTTTCCTAAAATTTGTGAGAAGTTGATATTGAGTGCTCTGGAAAATTAAAAATTTAACGGCTAAATTTAAAAATAACAAGTGGTTATTCTAAAAATATTACTTAGTTATCATCGCCATTATAAGGCAAGCTATAGGTTCTCAAAAGGCTAGACATGAGACTCGATTACTCTCAAACCTTGTTCTAATGATTGTACTATAGGAAGCAAAGCAAGGAGTTGTCTGAAAATGGCTACTAGTACCTTTCTCAATTCTAACTGTCACTGCAGCAGCAGCCTCGTTATCATTATGGGAAGACTGGAATACTGTTGTTGAACTACAAGGCTACAAGGAGCAGGTGAAAGATTGGATCCTCTTTGTAGTACTATTTGGATACCTTGGATCAAACCCAGGTTTTGTGATACATTTCATCGGACATATCGGCGCTTACATACTAGCTATTATTTTAACTCTTGTCAGTTATATCGGTTTGGGAGTTTGTGCAACTACCAGAACAGGACACCCTTGGCACTTATTCTTCACTATGTTATTCCTATACCTTGCAGCTTTTGCATCTTCGATAGCTATTGTAGCCACTATTAGTGAGACTCTACAGAACTTCTCTAAAAGAGCAGGAAACTTTTACATTGGGCTGATGATTGTATATACACTTATCGCTTACAGTTTTGAGGAGTCATTGAGAAATGGAATTCTCAGAGAAATCCCAACTCAATATTACTATCCAATCCTAGGAGTTGTTGTAGCAATAGTCTATTCAATCAGTTGTCTACTATCTAAACTAGTAGTCATCGAGGACTTTTACTCAAGGATCACCATCTCTCAAGATGTGATGGGAATGTTGTCTCTGCTCCTCCTCTCAGGTGTAATAATCGTTGTTAATTATATCTGATTCCTTGTAAATTATGAATATACTCTATTTTTTATAATCTTCTTGGTTGCACTTATCCTGAACTTTGTGATTGCGTATTTCATAATCCAGGTATCTCACAAAACGTAAGTGCCTTTGCTTAAAATTTTAGGATTGATTCTTCAAAACCATACGATGAGTTCCTCGAGGACGAAGATCAGACTGTTACAATGGACCTCATTGGTGCCTTACATGACTATAGACTTTATGGTCTTATGATAGGTACCTTTATCATTATTGGTACATCTACAACCTTCTTGAAGAACATCAGAATCATAAAGACTGCGAATCATGCGATGGCTCCTGCTTCAACTTACTCTAGCCTGTACCTCCTTTGTCAATCTTTGGGAGCACTGATCTGTGGACTTGTAGGCTCATATTCAAATCAATTCTTATGAGGAACAATCGGAGCTATTTTGGCAATCACAGGATACTTCAGTATTATCTTCTTAAGCTGGTTCTATGTAGAAACTATCCTTATAGGCTTATCTAGCGGAATCTGGTGGGTGTTAGCACCCCTGATTGTATATCGCTTCTTTGGTCCAAAACCATTCGCTGGTGTCTGGGGATCTGTCCTTACCATCAACTTCTGGGGAATGCTCTTACTAGGACTAGTATTCACTGTATTCTGGGAGCAACACCACAAACCTCTCCCATGGAGCCTCGGCATTTTCTCAGGAGCCTGCTTTTTAGCGATCATCGCTCTCGGTCTAATCCTCAATAAAAATTCAGGTTAATTTATAGATGAAGCTAAGACTCTATTTTCCATATTTCAACTTGCCTAATCTCTCTCGGGGTTTTGGGGTTTTGGGGTTTTGGGGTTTTGGGG